AAGCGTGATGAGCACCCCACCACCCCAGTCTGTCTTTTACTTCAAAAACTCCCTTTAAACATTTCTTCCAGCCCCTGTGTGTGTGGGGGGGGGGGGCGCCCAGCTGAGTCCTTAAAGCACTCTCCTCCAAACAAGGAACCTCAGATAAATTCCATGGATGGTGTGGATTCTTTGGAAGAAACACTCTCAAAAGAGAACTGGCAATTCAGCAATTATCCCTGAACAAATTAAGTGATGATACTTTAACATTTTGAAAACAGTAATGCATATAATTAATACAAAGACAAAACAAAATAATAGACATAAAAGTATCACGTTTCAGTTTCCTCAGGCAGGCTTTCCCCTCCAATGAACTTTCAGTGTTGTCTCTAAGGGTGTCAAAGGTGAAAAGACCTCTGGTCCCCTGGTGTCTATCCTGAGACCGTAGGTACTGGGTACTTCAGCTCCACCTGCTTGGGGGTGGGGGAGCAGGGAGCAGAGCCAGGAGCCTAACTCTGAAGTATGCTCCCACCACAGTGGGGTAATAAGAAGTAACATTTGCTACTACTTCTGCCCTCCGGCACATGGCATGATTCCCTGAGAAAGAATGCATCATTACCACTAAGTTAGAATAGAGAAACAGGCTTAGAGAATTTAAGGCCATAAGATAATCAGGAAGCCCAAATTATCTGAACTTATAGGCAGGATGACCACAGCCCATTCTTGAGGACTAAGGCTCTCATTTAAAGATATATAGCTGAAGTCTAAGGGTATTTGAGCATCTAAAAACTAGACATGTCCAAGACCCATTCCACACACATGTTGAGTGTCCCACTGCAACTTGTACCTTCTGGATTCAGTGAGTACTGCCAGGGCCCTTCTAGAGACAGCAACATGCATTCTTTCTGTAGATAAGGAAGACGAAGTGGGAGTTTCCATCAAAAAAGAAAGGAGTGAACTTGCTATAGGACCCAAGGGCCCCTTTATTAGTCTGGTCTCCCTTGGGCTTTATCCATGAATTGTCTGGCTCAGGCTCCGCACAGTGGACTATCTGCTGGGACAAACTGAGCAGGACATGCTATCATGGGTCCTAGACAACTTGTCCAGGTGTTGTCTGGGTTCATGGTGGATAGAAGGGAATTCTCTCAGGGATGGCAGAGGTGAAGCCTGTGGCTGAGGCCCATGAGTCCTGCCTTAGCAGCCTCCTCAGTCAGACCACAACCATCCAGGACACCTGTGCCCCCCAACCACACTCAACGGCTCTGAAGTGATATTTTCTGCTTGTCCCCATGGCCCGGCTCTTCTTGCCAGCCAGAAGGCCTGTACCTTTATTTCCACCTGCGCATCCAACCCCTAGGAACACACAGCCTTCCTCCCAGTCACTATAGCAGTTCAACCCTCCCCGGTGGGGTGCTCAAGAGTTTAATTCTGTGCCTTACTGAGGGGCTGTGAAACCTGGCTGGTCCAGGGCGCCCTGCATGGTCATGGCTATGTCTACGGAATTCAAGATTTCCCCTTCTGTGCTCAGGGTTAACACTTGCCTGGCTCGCTTCGGGTGTGGCCCAGCTAATCAGAAAGAGGGGCTCTTTGTAGAGTGTAAAGGGTGCGCAGTCAGAGGCTGCAGTCCTGTTTCTACGCAGGCACTCCGTGTCTTACACGCCAGGGAGAGGTCTGCGGCGCCGTGGAGCGAGGCGCAGGAGTACCTTGCTTCCACCCGCAAACCCCTTCCACGCTGGCGTGTGCACACAGGCCAGGATGGAAGGCGCCATCCTAACTTCTGCGAGCAGGTGGGAGGGAAGAGACGCGAGAGGTATTCCATTGGTTGTCTGGGAAAATGAATTGCACCTTCCCCTCACTCGCAGAGGATCAACTTTTCCCACCCCCTAGGGTGGGCACTAGTGTCTTGGGGCCTGAACCCTAACGAAGGGGCCCCGGTTCCAGGGACTTGGCGCTGGACGGGCAGGGGGGCTCCCAGACACCTAGCAAAGTGCCTTACAGTGTCCCGAGTCCCTCGAGTCCCCCGGCCGGGTGATTGTGCCAGTGTCCCGGCCGCAGAGCTGCCCCGCGCGTGGCTTGGCGGCCCCTCCTCCTCCTCCTCCCGGGGGTCCGCACGTGTTCCGCTCGCCGCGCCCCTGCGGCTTAAGTGCGGGTCCCGCAGCGGCCAGCCGGGCGGGTGCAGAGGCGGCCGAGGCATCCCGCGCGGGGCAGCCGCGCGATGCTGCACTGGAATGAGGAAGCTCGGCGGCGAGGGGAGGGCCCGGGCGCGCTCCACGCGGGGGTGGC